TACGCGACGTTGCTTCATACATTGCTTGATGCACCTGAATTTTGAGGTTTCCTTTTTCTGATTATGTTTTCCTCCTCTTCTTTTTCAGAATAACCAGCTTTCGAAGTACCCTTTCTTCTTCTTGGCAGTGTTTCTCCATTTCGAACGTTACAACAGCGTTTTCGAACTGCTCTGTAGAAATGTCTCCAAATAAACGACTACATGATACAGCGCGCAGTCCATTTTATGACTGTATTGCAAAGCACCCAAGGATTTGTTTCCCATCGAATGACGAGCCTTTGATAGGTATAGATGTCCACCTCTTATTGAAGCATTCAGGTATTCCCTTTTCTCCTGAAGACATTCGAGAGACTCCAAAAATTCAACGATGAGGTGATCTTGTTCCTCATACAAGTCCTCCATTTTCAAAAAAGAAACGTGGGAGATTGAGTACTAGCGAATGTCTTGTACTCTTAGTCAACTTTAGGTTGCACTTCAGTGCATTGCCGTTTGTCAGTAAATGTAAAGGAAGATCTCTCTTCATTTATCGCATGCCTTTTGGACGGCTTTCGCAATCGTGCTCTGACAGACTCTGAACTGTTGAAGTAAGTCAGTCGGAAAGTTAGTGTTAATGATTTTACTGATCATTTCACTACCCGCTAACAGCCGCCGTCTACCTTTAACTAGATTGAGACAAACTAAGGCCAGCAGAGATGGAAGATAGAAATCTGCGAAGGTCGATCAGTTTGAAATTTTTTACAGTATTCTTCTGGATACAGCCCTCCTCACAAAGTTATATGGACTTTTGATGCAACTTTACGCCTTTTCCTTATGACCAAAGGGAAATAGTGGATTCTTTCGCGAAAAAAACGTGCTACTAAGCGGCGTGTTCATATCGATGGACTCAGCTCACAGATGTACATTAGTCCCGTGTAGTACACTGCCATTCCTAGCGTGGAGTCTATTTGCTTTAAATTTGATCTGATCAGGTAGAAAGAAGCCCATGTTTATTCATTGGAAGCGTCAAACCCATTTTCGTTGGATGAATGAATGGGGGAACACTTTCCCACTCACTTCAATTGATCTATATGTAGCTGAGAAAAAAAACTATAAGAATTCTGCAAGGGTACGATGAGATTATTTTTCGAACATAAAGGAATCTTTTTTGATCCAAGAAGGGATGGAGCTTTCTCTAGTTATTACAAAGACTCACAATTTTCGCTGGCGCTGTTCTTTGGCGTCTTGGAACGCCAGTCGATATTTTGGAAAACGGCTGAGTTCCTCTTTACTTGAAAATATCTTACTTTTGATCTATATTTGCGTGTTGGCTACTATTCAAAGACAAACAATTTCAAAGTTTTCACTGTCATGAAGTTTGGACACAAAATTGTGATATTGACTGAATATCGGATTCCAGTGCGTGAGCTATCGAAGGTTTCCTCGATCTATGTGACGAAAAACTC